TATTGCCTCTCTGAGTTAGTTAAATATAAATTGAAGTCAGTGGAAAGACTTATACTTAATGGAGGGGATACAGTAATTATATTATTATTGAACTGAAGTAATTAGTAGAAAGTTAAAATTTGTTTTTGAAAATTTTTCTGTTAAACAAAACTTGATAGTTTAAGCATCAACTCTTTCAGAAGCTTAAGAAGACCAGAAAGAAGTCCAGGTAAAAATGAAAATACAAGTTTTAAAATAATTTGTGACTATATCATCTGCTTTAATTTTGTCTACTCCACAACAAAGTATTAAAAAATTAAGACTTTTATTTGAATAAAAGTATTAATATTTTCCTTTTCCTAAATTCCTTGATTAAACAGCTTACAAAGAATAGCTATCATATCTCCATTAAGGATTAATTTATTTAGTAGTTTTAGCTGTGTCAGGTATTCTAGGAACATAAAACGTGATCATTGACTTCATGGCATTTAAAATCTAACAGGGCAGCTATATAAGAGAAATAAACAGGTGATCGGTATAAAACAATTCTATTTGTACCATATAGTGTTTATGCTTTTGACTTTACTCGCCATTAATATTACTGCTAAGTTTATTTTAAATGTTTTGGTTTTCTTTTATTATCTAGAAGTAGTAAAAGTATTATAATTTATATTAGATTCTAATAACTGAAGATTATATAATTACAATCTCTTGGGTAACATTTAAAAGAAAAAACAATGTATAACTAACAAAGGAAATGAAATAGTTATTTGACTAATTTCAATAGAAGACAAGAAAGAAGAAAATAGAGATGTAAAGCATAATATTATGAATGTGTATTCAAACATATCCTAAATATAAATGGTCTAGATCAGCGGTTCTCAACCTATGGGTTGTCACCTCTTTGGGGGTCTCCTGCATATCAGATATTTACATTATGATTCATAACAGTAGCAAAATTATAGTTATGAAGTAGCAATGAAAATAATTTTATGGTTGGGGGTCACCACAACATAAGGAACTGTATAAAAGGGTCACAGCATTAGGAAGATTGAGAACCTCTGCTCTAGATAATCTGTTTAAAGGACAGATTGGCAGGTTGAATAAAAATAACAATTCTGTGTGGCTTAAGAAAGGTAAGTGTCAAATATAAGGCATAGAGAAAGTGAAAAGGAGATGCACCATATAATATGAACCAAATGGAAGATTGTACAGTGTGCTAACATCAGAGCAGACAGTCCTGGAGGCACGAAGCGCTATGGAGTCAAAAGGGAGACATTTCACAGTGATGAAAGGTCAGTTCATCCAGAAGACAGAACGATCCAGAATTTGGTTATGTGGCTTAAAATAATATAAAGTGAAAGTCATAATACTCATAATTTTAGAAAACACAGCAAACTGAATAAAGAGATCAAATTAATCTGATTTTAAAGTATCTACAAAAAGGGCGGCGCCTATGGCTCAAAGGAGTAGGGCACCGGCCCCATATGCCAGAGGTGGCGGGTTCAAAACCAGCCCTGGCCAAAAAAATTGTAAAAAAAAAAAAGTATCTACAGAAAACTTGTCAAAACCACAGTTAGCAGTAAAATAGTGAAAGATTTCCTGTTGGAGTTGGGAATATATCAGAAATAACCCCATCACCATTTTTGTTCAGTCTGTACTGAAGATTTAGTCAGCAGAATAAGGTAAGAAAACAAAAGTATATAGACTGGAAAGAAAGAAAGAAGATGCCCTGTTTGCAATGACTTGGTGCATCCAAAAGATCTTTAGTCAAACAACTTGATTTCTATTGTGTTTAGCAAGATCTTTGATTCTAAATATAAGATCAGTATTCACAAATCAATTTTATTTCTATGTACAGGTAGAAATATTAGGTTACATTTTAAAAATTTAATATTTTTTAATATAAATACTACATGCCTGGAAATAAATCTTAACAAAAACTGTAAAACTGGTACCAGAAAAGTATCACACATTATTAACAGAAGACCCAGAGGAAGGGTGAGATAGAATTGGAAGATTTAATATTAGAAACATGTTCATTCTCCCCAGATTGACCGTCGTGGGGGAGAGTTGCTGGCAACTGATAAGTTCTAAAAGTTTCAGGAAAAAATGCAAAGGGTCAAGAATAACTACACGCGTGTATGTTTTTGATCTGACTTATCCTGTTTGAATGTAAGTCAGTGCTATAAAGACAAGTACTTTTTGTTTTAATCCTGTATCCATGGTACCTAGAACAGTGCCTGGCATATAGCAAGCCTTCAACATGTATTTGTTGAATGAAAAAATATAAATATGTTTGTTGGCCATTCATCTGTCTTCTTTAGAGAAGGTTCTGTTCATGTCTGTTGCCCAGTGATATGTGGGATTGTTGGCTCTTTTTTTTCTTGATTAGTTTGAGTTCTGTGTAGATCCTCCTTCCCAAACTTTTGTCCAGTTCATAATGTGCAGATATCTTTTCCCATTCTGAAGGTTGTCTGTTTGCTTTGGCTGTTGTCTCCTTAGGTGTACAGAAGCTTTTCAGTTAATTAAATCCCTTTTTTTTTTATTTTTGTTTTTCTTGCTGTTGCCCCAGAAATCTTCATAAAATCTTTCCCTGGCTGATTATCTTCATGTCTTTTCCCCACAGTTTCTTTGAGGATTTTTATTGTCTCATGCCTTAGATTTAAGTCTTTTATCCATCTTGAATCAATTTTTGTAAGTGGTGAGAGATGCAGGCCCAGTTTCAGTTTCTTACAAGTGGTCATCCAGTTCTCCCAGTACCATTTATTGAATAGAAGTTCTTTTCCCCAGTGGATGTTCTTGTTTAGTTTATCAACAGTCAGATGGCTGTAGGATGTTAGTTTCTTCTCATGGTTTTCTGTTTGGTTCCAAATGTCAGTGTGTCTGTTTTTGTGCCAGTACCATGCTGTTTTATCACTATGGCAGCTTAATTTACAATCAACCAAAATGTAGAAACAACCTAAATGCCCACCAACCTAGGAATGGATTAACAAGCTATAGTGTATGTATACCAGGCATCCTCAAACTACGGCCCGCGGACCACATGTGGCCCACCTAGGACATTTACCCGGCCCGCCGGATGTTTTTGCCGCCACTGCCTGTCCTGCTTAGCAGCCAACTCGTCCCAGGGCCCACAGTCCGGCCCTCCAATGGTCTGAGGGACAGTGAACTGGCCCCCTGTTTAAAAAGTTTGAGGACCCCTGTTGTATACCATGGAATACTATTCAGCCACCAAAAAAGATCTTTACATCTTTTGTATTTACATCTTTTACATCTTTTGTATTTACCTGGATTGAGGTAGAACACATTCTTTTTAGTGAAACATCACAAGAATGAAGAATCAAGAATTCCATGTACTCAATTCTAATATGAAGCCAATAGATGATCGAGCAGAGGAGGGAGGGCAGTGGGGGGATCACAGTATATGGCACACCTCTTCGGGGTGGGGCACAACTATTGTATCAGCATAGTGTATTACTTAAACAGTCAATAAATATCGTTGGGTCCCCTCTCCCCCCAAAAAAGATTAGTGAAAATATTCATAAAGAACTAAAGTTGAGGACTTAAACTACTGGATATAGAGATTTACTCTGAAACTACAATGGTTAAGAGTGAGGATTAACAGTAAAACCAGTGAACCAAAATAGAGAACTCAGAATCATAGAGACACACTTGATATGTGACAAAGATGGTAGTCAGGAAGAACTTCACCAGGGATGCTAAGATAAATGGGCATTTAAGGGGAAGAATAATTCTTCGACTTCTTGCTTATGCCATCTGCAAACATTAGTCTCATGTTTTAATGTGAAAATTCAATAAAACTTCTAGAAGAAAATTGAGTATCTTCACGACCTTAGGGTGAGCAAAGACTTAAACAAGTAACAAAGACCATTACTGTAATAAAGGAGCTAGTAGATCTTTCCTGTGGCTGATTTTTCCAGTAAGGTCTTTCTCACCAAGATAGAGATGAAAAGGAGTGATTATTTGCTTTGTGAGATTAGAGACCTGGACGGGGAAGAGGGAGCTACAGCAGCAGATGTCTGCCACAGGAAGCTGGGCTTTGTTGTCCTGTAGTTGTCACAGCTGCCTAAAATCGTCTGCTATCAAGGTCTTACTCTCTAACACTAATGCTTATTTTAAGAGCCAGTGAGGGGGATTTTGAGCCTTGCCCGTTACCCTGAATCCTCAGTTTCAGCTTGGGGGGAACTCTTTTGTACACTCCTTCTCTGGGAAAACTCAGGCTGCAGGATACTTCTCCAGAGCGCTGGCAGGACAGATACCCCCCATCAGCAGTTAGTGGGGTCAGCTCATGCCCACTTGTCCAGGGGGCTTTTTTCCTTCATTTATGGTGAAGTGAGAACTGGTCTGCTCTTTCCTCTGTTCTGTTCAGTTTTGCATATAATAATTTGGAAGAAAGTCTCGACAGTGACCTTTGTTCCTTGTCTCCGCTGATAAAATTTCCCCCATCGTTTGATTCTGTGAGTCAGTTCAGTGTGAGTTTGGAAACTGGACTGCAGAGCATGAACATGAGCCTTGTCATCATACTGGCTCTATGTTGGTTATATTTTCTTATATCATTGATTAAAAGAGATCATGGAAGATTTAAAAAGTAGGGTACTAACCTTATGTAAGGGAAATTTTTATGTTCCACAGGACCATTTATGAAGTTGGAATCCGAGCAGAATTAGTTACGGAAAATAATTGTCTAAGTTACCTGCTTTTTAACAAATGTGGGGGGTTATGATGGAGTAGGTTTCTTTTCAATTAAAAAAATCTTTGAAGAATAAATCCTTGAGGTGCAGTTTAGAGCTAAATGTTTAAACTGTCTAAACCTGGAGGACTCCTCACTAACTAGGTCTACTGAATGTGGGCTTTTTTAGGAGCAAGGGACTAGCTTATTTCCAACAGAAGTCACAAGATTGCCTCTTTTTAAATAGAGTTATAAGACTGTACCTTTTTACCTTAATGTAGCTTGTCTGTTAGTCTGTAGTTTTATTTATGAGCAATTACGTTTAAAGGTTTTATTCAAGTGAACATGAATACAGTGGATTACATATAGTTCGGCCTTCAACTGGGAAAATTGTGAATGAACTTTTTAAAGAGGCAAGGGAGCATGGGGCTGTTCCTCTGAATGAAGCCACAAGAGCTTCAGGTGACGACAAATCTAAGGTCAGTACTATTCATTTATTTCCTCTGTTGTTTTGTATATCATTTGCAGACATTTTTTCTGACTGTATGTTTCTTTAAATATTTGTTTCATTTTTATAAGATTATAATCTTTGTATTCATTCAAAGTTGGAGCAGTTTCTTACATTTCTATGCAATTTTTAATTTTGAAATAATTATCAATTCAGAGGCATTTGCAAAAAGAATCCAGGCAGGTTACATGTCCCTTTCATCCAGCTTCCTCCAAGGGGTACATCTGACATGATCAGAGTGTAATGGCAAAGCCAGGAATTTGACATGAGTACAATGTGTATGTATAGTTTTATGTCATTTTGTCACATGTATAGATTTGTATAATCACCCAACTCAATTGCAACACTGTTCTGTCATCACAAAGCTTTTCTTAGCCCTTATAGCAGGTGTCCTCAAACTTTTTAAACAGGGGGCCAGTTCATTGTCCCTCAGACCATTAGAGGGTCAGACTGCGGGCCCCGGGATGAGTCAGCTGCTAAGCCGGATAGGCAGTAGTGGCAAAAACACCGGCAGGCCGGATAAATGTCGTAGTGGGGGCCACAGTTTGAGGACACCTGCCTTATAGTCTCACCTTGCTCCCTCCCTTTCTCCTTCTGTTTCTATTGAAAATGTTATACAAATGGAATCATACAATATATAACATGGGGGAGTAACTTTTTCCACTCGGCATAATGATCCATCCAAGTTATTACATGTGTTAATACCTTATTCCTTTTTAATTCCTGAGTAGCATTTCATGGTATGGATATACCACAGTTTATTTAACTATTTACTTAAGGACATCTTAGTTTTTTCTGTTTTTTGACTATTACAAATAAAGCTGCTGGGAGCGATTGTGCGCAGGCCTTTTTTACTTATTCATGAGTCAGTACGAAAATTTTCAGACTCACACAGTATTAAAATATTGAATAAGAATGCAGTGTCTCTTCCAGTATAGTTGTCATCTAGTCTTACAATCAGTACTTCTCACCCTGGAATTTTTCCCCTCAAAGTCAATTGGGGAGGTTTTGTAAACTACCACATCGCCGTAAGTATTATGGCTCAGTAGATAGGAGTTGTGCCTACATGTGTGTCTTGTGAAAATGCCTCTCTGATAATTTTAACTTCCACTGTTAAGAACCAGTGACTGGGCTCGGTGCCTGTGGCTCAAGTGGCTAAGGTGCCAGCCACATACACCTAAGGTGGAGGGTTCAAATCCAGCCCGGGCCCGCCAAACAACAATGATGGCTGCAACTGAAAAATAATAGCCAGGCGTTGTGGCGGGCGCCTGTGGTCCCAGCAACTTGGGAGGCAGAGGCAGGAGACTCGCTTGATCCCAGGAGTTGGAGGTTGCTATGAGCTATAGCATTGCACTCTACCCAGGGGACAGCTTAAGGCTCTGTCTCAAAAAAAAAAAAATAAATAAAAGAACCAGTGACTGTTCTAAGTGAAACTTAAATTTTAGTTTACATTTCATTATTTGTCAGCAGTTTGAAATTCTCTTTTAGTCAAGTCTTAAGGTGATTTTGTCTCTTGAAGATTCTCTAATTTTGTAAGAAAATTGTGGAATTGATATGATTTATTCCGTGGAGAAGCAATATAATAATTAAAAACTCATTTATGATATAAATGGTTACTAGAAGGAATAGCATTTTTACCTCATAAACTATCCCACCTGAAGAATAGAAGACCTTGTGATGGGTATAGCAAAATAAAAGTGCAATCACAGCTGATTTGCTGCAGTTGACAAAAGCAGCTCAAATAAGTTTTAAAGAACTAGAGTTTTTCTTCAGGGTCATTTATGCTCTTTGTGGAGTGTGGTTTAATCATTGTAATTTTTATTATAAGACTTGTCATAAAATGTTAAGGATAGTTTTTTCTTAATTTGTCTTTCCTGAAGGTATATTCAGAGGGTACCCAAAAAATGGATTTATATTTTAAGACAGGAAAAATCTGTATTAAATTTGTAATACTTAACTCACATTTAACTTACACAATTATAAAAGGTGCTCACCATGTTATCATGATATATTATTACACTTTTAAATGTGCAGACATTCTTTTGGTACCTTCTGTATTTCAGTCTGTAAATGCATCTCTTCATTTAAGGTTGACCTTTATTTCAGCTTCAGAGTCACTAATGTTTTTATGGAGAGAAACGTAATTTCTTACTTGAGTACACTTCTCTGTAAGTTAAGACCTTCATTCTAATACTATAAAATTTTTCCGGTAAATGTGGACCAATTTGGCTATTTACTGTTTATCTGATTTTAAAATACATATAACGTATTATAATAACATTTTATTGACTAACCCTTAGTGAATTTGTAATTCACTTATCATGTATGTTAGTCGTTTACAGGTGGAGGATACAGATTGGGTAATTCCTTTTGTAAGCGGTCTGAATATATCTATGGAGAAAATCAGCTGCAAGATGTAAGTACAGTAACCAAAATGAGAAAAGTGTAAATGTTTGCCTCTGTTTACCACTGTTTGTTTTAAAATTAAAAATTGATATTATAAATATATTTTTGTTTCTTTCTGAAGCTGGATTAAAGGGACCAGCATGCGTGTTTTCAGTCTCCATTTTTTTGTGTCTCAGTCACACTGTACACGTGACGATTCGTGACTATTCGTTGAGTATGTGATTCACTGTCCAGAGGAATGTGCACGTGGGCACAGTGGCACACACCTTTAAATCCAGACGTTTGGGAGGCTGAAAGCAGGGGGATCACTTGAGCCCAGCCTAAGGCAACATAGCAAGATCTCATCTCTTTAAAAAGTGTAAGAAAATGAGCTTACACATACTGTAATTATTACCATCAGTGGTGTATTGCCAACACATAAAATGAGCTGTGTTATAAAAAGATTATACCTAAAGTAACTCCTTGTTTTATTTGCCTTTTGAAATTTTGGAATTTTCATTTTATTTTAAACATCTACATTTTCTTAGAAATTCAGTCTTGCCACCCTCTGTACCAGGAAGAGTGTGGGTGCAAAGGAAGGTGAAGGTGGGAGCAGTGGGCGCAGCGGGGCGTCCTCTTCTCAGTACTTCAAGGCTGGGGTCTAGCTGTGGGACCTGAGGTGTTTGCTAACTTTGCTGATTTGTTAAATTAAATAAAAATTTGCTAAGAAAACGTGATTTCATGTATGTCTTTGTACATAAAAAAGTATAGCACAAATAATTCCCTATTTTAAATTAATTAAAAGGTTTACTATATCATATTTGAAACTTAAAATCCTTTGGGGGAGATATATTCTTTTATATGTTTTTTTCCACACCCAAAAGGTTCAGATTTTGCTTAAACTGTGGAGCAATGGTTTCAGTTTAGATGATGGAGAATTGAGACCTTACAGTGACCCAACAAATGCTCAATTTCTGGAGTCTGTTAAAAGAGGGTAAGATGTATTGTATTCTATTTGTTACTCAGAGAACGACCTTGTTTTTCTTTTCTTGTCTTCTTTTTTAAACAGACTGCTAATCAGTAGTCTGTTTTTAGGAATTGGCTTCTGGGATACATTATATTAAGTGGTTATTAGAGGTATGGATATTCTTGAGTATGTAAAGGATATACTGATCTGTAAGTCATTGGTTCTTAACTTTGTGGGGCAGACGTATTGAACATTGGCCCATTTTAAAATCTGATGAAACTATGGACCCGATTCCAAGAAGAAACATCTTAATGTGATAATCGGTGAATTTATTAGCATGTAGCTTCCCATCCACTAAGCCCCTGTCCTCCTTACTATTGGCAGGGTGACTCTCATTGCATGTATGCCTGAAATTCAGCAACTTATGTTAGAAACCTTTTGAAGTCACATTGCTACTGACAGAAGATTTCAAAAGGTTAGTTTGAAGTTACAATTTGTGAAAGTAAACCAGATATTCAATACTCTGACCCATTCAAAGAACATTATAACTTACCAGTTTTTCTTGTTAAAGGATGAGAGAAATCAAGTGATTTTGCTATAGAAATAAAAGGCTTTCTACATTACGATCTCAATAGCTAACAGCAGTGTTATTCCTAAGTAGAAATACCACTAAAGACATAAGGTTGATCATAAACTGGGAGATGACTAGCAGGAAAAGACCAGAGTAGGGGGTTATACTTCAAAAGAATTGAAGGCCAGAGTTTTCCTAATGGATGAAAGGGGTCCAGGGAGAGTGGCTGAGTGGAGTGGGTGTTAAATTCTTTGGAGTCAAAGTAGCCAAGGGACTCTGAAGGAAAGGTATTTTAGAGCACTAATTAATTAGTATCGATTTTGAACTTAAATTATACAGATAAAGGCAAGAAATGCTATAAGAATTCAAAAAGGCAGGAAGCTGTCCTAGGAGGCAGTATATGGTAGTGGTAAGTAGAAGATATAGTTTTACGTGAATGCTGTGGACTCGGAGACCTGCAGCATCACTCACTGGGTGGAGTGGGTGTGGTGGTGAAGACCAATGTAACTTGAAATGGATGCTAATTTCAAGATTATCAAAGAACATGATGATAAATATAACATTATATATTAAAAACTAAATGATAGGCTCGGCGCCTGTAGTTCGGTGGTTACAGCGCCCGCCACATACACCGGGGCTGGAGGGTTTGAATCCTGCCAGGCCTGCTAAACAGCAATGACAACTGTAACAACAAAAAGAAAATAGCTGGGCATTGTGGCATGCCGGTAGTCCCAGCTATTTGGGAGGCTGAGGCAAGAGAATCTCTTAAGCCTAAGAGTTTGAGGTTGCTGTGAGCTGTGATGCTACGGTACTCTACCAAGGGTGACAAAGTGAGACTCTGTCTCAAAAAAAAAAAAAAACCTAACTAATTGATTTAACTTACTGTTAAAAGAAAATATCCATAATGTTTGTAGGCTGATGTTTAAACAAACATAGCACATTAAAAGTATTTTTAACTTTGAGCCCTGTTATATCCTTGAGTACAAATCATAATTAAGAAGAGTTTTAGAAAAGACTTTATGGGCTCAGTGCCTGTGGCTCAAGTAGCTAAGGCACCAGCCACGTACACCCAAGGTGGCGGGTTCAAATCCAGCCCGGGCCCGCCAAACAACAATGACGGCTGCAAC